TTTGCCTCCCAGCAATTTAGCTCCTTGCAGCAAACAGCCTGATTAGCACAAGAAGAAAAAAATCTGCCTCCCAGGAATTTGCCAGGTGGAGCAAACAGCAAGTTTCACTTTCACTTTCTCCCAATCATCAGCTGTTTCAGGCTGCAGGGATTCCTATAGCCTATTGAAGCCTCCCCAAGCCCCTGTTTGCTGCAAGGAGGTAAATTGCTGGGAGGCAAAGGCCAAAGGGTTGGGGCCAGTGGATGGGTGGGGCTACATTCGGTGTATAAGACGCACCCAAAATTTCACCCTCTTAGGGGGAAAAGGTGCATCTTATACTCCGAAAAATACGGTATACATCGCTTCACTGTGCTTTTACAGCCCTCTTAAGCGGTTTAGAGTCAGCTTCTTGCCCCCAACAATCTGGGTCATTTCACCAACCTAGGAAGGCCGAGTCAACCTTGAGCTGGTGAGAATTGAACTCCTGGCAGTTGGCAGTCAGCCTGCAATTCTGTTGGGGGTGGGGGAAGGGCAATAGCACTTAGATACCACTTTGCGGTGCTTTCCAGCCCCCTCTAAGCAGTTTACAGAGTCAGCCTCTTGCCCCCAACAATCTGGGTCCTCATTTTACCGACCTGGGAAGGACGGAAGGCTGAGTTAACCTTCAGCTGGTTCAGGATCGAACTGCTGGCAGTGGGCAGTTAGCCTGCAATGCTGCATTCTAACCACTGCGCCACCTACGGCTCATATATTGAATGGACTTTTCCTACATGGTTAAAGAAGGAACTGCAGTTTCTTTCTCCTGCTTGGCTTCCAGTGACTGGTTGGAGGGCTGAGTTACCCCAATTCCATGGCTGGTTTGTTTTATCATGTGAAACCAGAAAACTGGGTTAATTGAATAAACTGATTCATATAACTCAGTGGTTCCCAAACTTGGCAACTTTAAGACTTGCAGACTTCAACTCCCAGAATTCTGGGAGTTGAAGTCCGCAAGTCTTAAAGTTGCCAAGTTTGGGAACCACTGATATAACTGAATTAGCATCCAGTCATGCTTCAAAGATAGCAATAGCAATAGCAGTAGACTTATATACCGCTTCATAGGCCTTTCAGGCCTCTCTAAGCGGTTTACAGAG